CATGGTCGGGATGTTTCTGTTGCTCTTGTATGTCTCTGAGTTGAAACCGACGCATAGCTGGCCCTCCAATGGGTATTCAGAGGTGGTATATTGCATGAGAGGAGATTGTCAATCCTTTTTTCACAGAACACCGGTGGATTCGAATCACGTACCTTTGGGATTACAGTGCAGCTTTTTACCACTGGGCCACCTTAACCTTAATCTTTAAACTGATGTTATTGCCCTTAAGCACATTGGAGAGGTCCCTTACAGCAAATTTTCCCACTGTAACATGTCTTGAGCTCAAGAAATGCTTGCTGCAGAGGGTCAAGAACTGCAGCCTTCAATATGGATTGAGGCTTAATGTTAAGAAGACAGAGATTTTCACCACTGGACCAATTGGCAGCATCAGGATGGATGGTGAAGAGATTGAGATTGTTAACAACTTTAGTTTGCTTGGCTCCACAGTCAACACTCTTGGTACCAGCAGCCAGGAAATAAAAAAAACGCATTGCAGTGGGAAAGTCTACTATTAGGGACCTCTCCAGGGTACTGAGGAGCAATGGTGTAACTCTGGAGACTAAGGTGCATCTGATACAAGCTATGGTCTTTGCAATCACTTGTTATGCATCAGGGAGTTGGACAATGACTAGGGAGGATAGAAGGAGAATTGAGGCCTTTGAGCTGTGGTGCTGGAGAAGAGAATTGAGGGTACCATAGACTGCAAGGAAAACAAACAGATTCATCCTAGAGAGGGTTAAACCAGGCTGCTCCTTGGAGGCAAGGATTCTGGGGCTTCGTCTGACATACTTTGGACATGTTGTAAGGAGAGACCGGTCCTTGGAGAGGGACATCATGCTTGGGAGGTTGGAGGGACAGTGCAGGAGGGGAAGGCCCTCTATGAGGTGGATTGATTCAGTGACTGGAGTAATCAGGATGGCTGTGTCAGAGGCAGTGCTATTGGCACAGGACAGAGTAGGGTTTAGGGCTGTTGTACATAGGGTATCTATGAGTCGCAAGCGACTCAACTGCACATAACAACAATAACATGTCTTGATTTTTTGACTGCTGGTACCAAGGGTGCTGATTGTGGGTGTAAGGAAGATGAAACCATTGACAATTTCAATCTTGTCTCCATTTTATCATGATGTTTTCTAGCAGTCCAATGGTGAGGATTTTTGTTTTCTTGATGTTGAGATGTAATCCATATTGAGGGCTGTAGTCTTGGATCTTCTGCAGCAGCTGTTTTCAGTCCTCCCCAATTCACCAAGCAAACCTTCTCCACTCTGCTCTGTTCCCTGGCTGGCTCATCTGTACGGACTGCGTCAGTGGTCCTCTGACTTCTGAATAGGCTCAGCCAGTAGAGAGTGGTGTGTGGAGACTGGAGGCAGAAGGAAAGTAAGGTTGGAATATTAATCCCTCCTCTCTCTCTTCTTTGCTTCAGGCTGGCAGCACGCTCAGCTCAAGGCCTTAGCTGCTGTGGGACTGCCATCTCCACACAGTTCTTTCTTTCTCGCTCTGGATTCTAGGAACTGCCTTCCCTTTAGGCCTAGGTATGGCACCAGCCCACTTCCCACCCATGTCTTTGAAAATAGTTCTGTGTTTTAGTAAACATCTCAGTTGTTGTGTATCATCTGTTTCCTGCCAGGGTTCTGACTGACACAGTATCACATTAAAATATCTCACCAAATGTTTACTTAGTAACTGCTATATGCCAAGTAGGAATAAATGGTAAACTGGAGTTAATGCTTCTCAAGGGGCCATTCTGGGAAAGGGGACAGTCCCAGGAACACATCACTGTACTCGATCTTGGTAGATGACAAAGGGAGGAACTGGATGGAGATGTTGGTGGGACGAGAGATAACTCAGTGAAGATACCTTGGCAGAGGTGAACTGTAAAGTCAGGTAACTGTGAAAAGGGAGATGTCAGGAGCTGAGAGAGAAGTTTATAGCCAAAAATATTCCAGGCTCTTCAGGTAGGCTGGATTCATTGACAGAAAGCCTTGAGGGAGAGAGTGATTTTTTCACTTCCATTTACTTATTTTCTGTACTAAAGGAAAAATAATGAGAAAGGTAAAAATCTTCAATCTCTCACTTATTATTGATACATATCATAGAGTTAACTAAGACTCATAGTGACTCTGTACACAATAACTCTGAGTCCTGCTCTATCCTGAGGCAACCTCACTGTATCCGAAAGACCTACCTCCATTACCCCAGTTACTATGTCAATCCATCTCATCCAGGGCCTACCTCTCCTGTGCTAACTCTTCACCCTTTTAAGCACGATGTCCTTTCCCAAGGATGATCCCTTTTGACAACATGCCCAGAATATATGAGTCAGAACTTCAAAATCCTTGCCTCCAAGGATTGGCCTGGTTTCCACACTCTCCAGGACAGACCTGCTTATTGTCTTGGCAGCTCATGGTTTGTTCAAAACTTTTCTCCAGCACTACAACTTGGCATTGATTCTTCTGTCATTCTTAGTCACTGACCAGCTCTCTGATGCACAGTAAGTAATTGCAAAGCCCATGGCCGGGATCAGGATCTCTAGACTGACATCACTCAATGTTGGCTATTAATCCTATCCTACCACTGAGGCTTGACATCCATGCTTCCCTGCCCCCAAATCTGTCCTTTCCATTCCAGATCATCCTCACATCCTTCATACATATCCAAGGGGTTTTTTCCCAAATGACCAGAAGACAATCTGGTAAATTGATACTTGGAACTGAAGGGACAGGCAGGCAGGAACTGAGCACTCTCAAATGAAGTGTAGAAGTCTGGCACCTGGAATTTTTTTCTTTCAAAGATTGGATTGATAATGAACACTGTACTGGAACAGATGTAGGAAAGAACTGTTTAAAAGGAATAAACGGTTCGGTATTATACGTAAGACAATAGTCCAGAATAAGGGGTGCATTGCAAAGAGAACTGGGGGAGGGGAGGAAAGAGAAGGGGAAGGGGGAAGTTGTACAACAATGAACGACTATTTAAAAAAAGAAAGTTAAGTGGGGCAGGGGGAAGGGAGGAGGAGGAGAGAGGGAAATGTGTAACAACTAATGAATGAAAGTCTAACTTTTCTGTAAACATTCTTCAACATTAATTAAAATTAAAAAATTATTGTTTTAAAAAGTAACAAATCCCTGTCAACACTCATCGTGTACAGTGGAAACCAGAAAGAGGAGATCGAGCTTCACTTCATCAAGGTGGGACTTTTCCTTTTTTTTTTTCTTTTTTATTAAATTTTATTAGTTTTAATGAACATTTACAGAGATTTTGGGTTTTCATTCATTCATTGTTGCACTGTTTTCTCCACCCTCATCCCCAGTTCGTTTTTCTCCCCCCCATGTCTGTTTTAATTGTCCAATTGCCACAGTGCTTGTCAAAGCCAGTTCTGATTAATCTCCTTTATCAGTGTGTCCCTTGCCATTCCCTATCACTCCTCCCTGAGAGAGACTTCACCCTGATTCATAAGGAAAAGGGGATGGCGTATTCTCTTAGCTACTTCCTGCTGAAAAGGGACGCTGTGCGTTTCAGGGTGAATGTCTTCTCTCACTACTCCAAATGGCCCCCTTGGCAGTAGGAAACACATAGACTATTATGGAGATTGATTTTGGAATTTAGATGCACTGTTATCAATTGTGCTTAGCCGTACATGTTCATATCCTTGAAGATGTATCATGGAAGTGTTGGAAAACCTACAACCAGGAGAAGATAACGTAGATGAATGGCATCTTCTAAGACTCAAATCCCTATGCACATCCAAAACATTCTCCAACAGGGTAAAAAGGGAGGCCACTGACTGGGAAAAAGTATTCGGTAATAACATATCAGATAAGGGCCTTATATCCAGAATTTATGAAATACTTGAGCACCACAACAAGATAAAGGTAAAGAATCCAATAGAAAAATGGGCACAGGATATGAACAGGCACTTCACCGAAGACGACATTCAGATGGCTAACAAGCTCATGAAGAAATGCTCAAAATCCCTAGCCCTAAGAGAGATGCAAATTAAAACAACTATGAGATATTATCTCACCCCAGTCAAAATAGCAAAATTTAACAGAACAGCAAGCAATAAATGCTGGCGAGGTTGTGGAAAAACTGGAACCCTGATTCACTGTTGGTGGGAGTGTAAAATGGTGCAACCCCTGTGGAAAGCAGTATGGCGCTTTCTCAAAAAGTTGCAAATAGAGATACCATTTGACCCAGCAATTCCACTACTGGGAATATACCCTGAAGAGACCATAACTGTCATCCAAGCAGATATATGCACACACATGTTTATTGCAGCTTTGTTCACAATAGCAAGGAGTTGGAAACAACCTAAGTGCCCATCAACAAACGAATGGCTAGAGAAGCTGTGGTATATTCACACAATGGAATACTATGCTGCATTTAAAAACAAGGAACTTATGCAGTATTACTCAAAATGGTTGACTAAGGTGGGACTTTTCTGATTCAAGCAAACGGACACTTCCACGATCCATTTGATCCCTCTCTAGGCAAATGCAGGGGGTGCTAGCCTCTCTTCTGAAAACTAGGGAAGATCAAGTCCACAGCTGTCCCATACCATTCTACAGGCAGTTCCTTGGCACATCCTTGGGGTGTGTGTGTGTGTCTTTTCATCCTCCCTCCTCCTCCCTCTCAGTCACACATGCACACATACACCCACCCTACAAGTCCCCCTCTTCTGATTACCGAGAGCACCCACCGCTCTCCCCTACTCAGCCTCCCACAAATAAGAGACCAGGAAATTGCTCAGAGTGGTGCCCTGGTCGGTGAGTGGACCCAGCAGCCTTGCTCTTTGCAGAAGATCCCAGGGGGCGGACCCGACCAGGGGCTAGTGCCCACCCCCAGGAGGCCCTTCCCACCCCCTCCGCAGGCGGGCCCCGCCCCAGGAGGAGACGCCTGCTGGAAGCCACCACCCCGTCCCATCACTGAGCCAGTACCCGGAGGCTGCGGTGGCCGCCTTGTGCAGTTTCTGTGGCCCCTGCGCGGAGTATGGGACACTGATGGCCATGGAGTGCTACATAGGCTTCCTGGTGCTACTGGTGGCGGCGCTGCTCTTCGGCTTTCTGTCCGTCGTCTTCACCCTCATCTGGGTCCTCCACTACCGGGAGGGGCTCGGCTGGGACGGGACTGCGCTAGAGTTCAACTGGCACCCAGTGTTCCTGGTCACCGGCTTCATCTTCATCCAGGGCATCGGTACTGACACCGATGGGAAGTAAAGGGGTGGCAGGGGCAGGGAAGAGGGGAGAGGGTTCAGGACGTGTAGGGGGATGGTGAGGGGAGACCCTGACCGAGCGCCGGTGGGGCTGATGTGGCTGCGCAAGGGAACGGGGTCTGGGTGGCCCCATGCCTGTGCCAGGACGCCAGAAGTTCAAAGTCAACAGGGCCAGTGAAGGAATTAGGGTGGGGTGTGTCGGGGCCGGGGAATAGCAATGCGAGTCGACTAGGGGCGGCGAAAGCAGAGGAGAGCTGGTCCCCGGCGCTGGCCCCACTCGGTTAACTCTTAGCAGCAGGTGGCTGCGACGCCTTTGAGGCGCCCTGGTGGCAAACACCAGAAACTGCGCAAGAAACAAGCCAGTGCACCGGGCAGCTGGGTCTCTACGGTCAGCTGGCCTCCTAAAATCGCTCCCTGTGGAGGGATCCAGTGTCATCTAGGGAAGGGAACCATCTGCAGGCGAGGCTTTTCTTTTGAAGTTGCTTCCAAGGCTGCAGATTAGGAAAGGAGGGCGTCGAGGGGGAAACGGGGCCCAGAGGCTTGTCTGGTAACCTCTTCAGATCTGTCCGGGTGAAGAGCAGGTCAGCCAAATACTCAGGGTGTGTGAAGCAGCCACTCCAGTTGTCTGTCACTCCTAAGGACCTGGACTCTAAAGGGTGTCGAGCTCCCCTGCTTGGTCATGGGATAGTCTCGGATCCAACTTGTTGATTTGACTGGAGAAGTTCCTTGCGGTGCGGTGCTTCCTGTGGGGCGCTGGCCTGGATTCCAGCCCTGTAGTGCCTGAGGTACACCAAAATGCCCAGAGGGAAAGGAGCACGGCTCCAAGTGTGCTTTTGTCCAGGAGCGAGTTCCCTTGTGCTTCTCTGCTTCGGGCGGTGCCTGGCTGGCAAGGAGCCCTCCTCCGCCTGCATTCTTTGAGATTAGCCTGGGTAGGAAAGAGCCTGGTGGATGGCAGTTTTTGTTGTCATTTGTATGAGTCCTCTCAGAATGTCTTAACTGTTTCTTTCGGCTGCTGTTTGGCTGGAGGAAACTTAGAAGTAGTGGTACAAGAACTATTTGTTTATAACCACTTTCCAAAGAGTGAAGCCAAGGCCTTGGCAGAAGAATGCATTTAGAAAGAAGTAAAAAGTGGTGTGTATTAGGGAAGATGTGTCCACTGGCTGGGACCTGTAGCCTCGCCCCTAAGCAGGCCGCCTTTTTTTCTGCCAGTATTTAATTCACCCCAAATAGACAAACAACAAATTCCTACAGAAAGCCATTTTATTACCAATTAAAATATGTACTGCAGACTACAGGTGGGGCAGCCTTCATTCTTCGGCTTTAGGATGTTGTTGAAGGCATTACTAATGTCCAGAGGTTGATTCAAGGCTTCTCTCTGGTACGAGATTGGCATCAGGACACTGCTGTCATTCCAAGTTATTATGTTGCATAATTTCCACCAATTTCGCCACTAGACAAGAATGAGAAAAACAGGCTCAAGTTCCAAAAGTTTGTCACCAGAAGCACACTTTCCTGATGGAGCCGTTGAGCATAGCCAGAGCTATCAACACATCTATTTGCTCACAGTAGTAGGAACAATGTCTTCATTTGTTCCAATCAACTCTTTATAGCACTTTCTAACACCAAGAAAATTTCCAGAAGTTATGGAATATTTTCCCCTCATAACTGTGGGTAAAGGAAATCAGGGTGACAGTACTTTTTTGCCTGACTCACCAAAGGAGACAAAATCACAGAATTGGCTAACACTCCTTAGTGCTTTCAATATGTCCACTATGTACATTATCTCGCAGGTGTTACTAAGAGTAAACTGAAGCATAAAGCAGTTGATTAACTTAGGCAGAGTAAGGAGTCTTTTCAGCAACTTTTATTTTCAAAGCCCATTTCTCTGCTTTTATAGCAAGATGCTTACTTCTCTGCAAAATATTTTTTTAAGGCACAAAAAACCCTTTTTCTTTACTCTCTCCACCCCCAAGAGTCTATTATCTATTTAGGGAACTCAGGTGGCCTAGTGAATAAGAAGCTGCCCTGCTTACCCAAAGGCATCAGCTACACTGCGGGAGAAAGATGGGAAATCTCTCATCATTTACAGCCCAACATGTCTTCTCCTCTGCCTACCTTCCTATCTGTGGTAGCCTTCCAAGACAAATCTACCTGCACTTAAACCTTAGCTTAGCTTAGCTTTAAAAAAATTACTATTGTGAACTGAATAAACATTTACAAAGCAAATTCCAATTTTGACCATTTATACACATTTTGTTCTTGAAGATTAATTCCAGTACCCACAATGTGGTTGCACTTTCCCCACTTCTTCCCTGTGATTCTGATTTTCACTAATCCTTCTAAAACTTTCTGTGTATTCCCTTTCTTTAGTGATGTTGTGCTGATTGTCCTTCATGTGATATTACTTTTCACTTCACCCATTTTATTATGTGTCTGTTGTTGTGGTGTGTACCATTGTGAACCAATAGCTGACCCTCCAGTGGGTTTTCAGAGGCAGCTAATTACATGAGAGGAGATTGCCCATCCTTCTCCCATGGAGCAGCTTGTAGATTTGAACAGCATGCCTTTGGAATTGCATCACAGCTTCTTGCCACTAGGCTACCAGAGCCTATTATATATTGTGCCTATTATATATTGATTAGTTTTTACTCCCTCTCCTTTGCTTTCCATCCCTGAAATTAAAAATAGTGCAGCCACTATGGAAAAGAGTTTGAGACTTCCACAGAAAGTTGGGAATAAAAGTATCATTTGATCCAGCAATCCCACTATTATATGTCAAAGAAATAAGAGTAGCCACATGAACAGACATACGTACACCCATGTTCATTTCAGTATCACTTACAATAGCAAAGAGACAGCAACAACGCAAGTATGTACTAAGCGACAAATGGATAAAGAAACTATGGTATATTCAAAGAATGGAGGACAAAAAAAAATTACAAAACATTGCATAACCTCAATATGTCTAGAGAACATTTGTTAAGTGAAATAAGTCAGTTACAAAAGGATAGATATTATATAAGAGCACTGTTCTTGAAAGCTAAGGTAAGGTTTAAGCACAGTTAAAAAACTTTTTCTAAAATACACTTTAAAACTTTTTATGTATTTTAGAACCCATTACTTGTGTTCCTACAAAGTTTCTCCATTTCTCTGAACTTTCAAGTTTTCTTATTCTGTTCATACACATTTAGGGATGAATATGTAAGTGGCTATTTTGGAAATTTTCCTCTTCTGTTTCATGCAAACCACAAACCTTTCGGTTAGCAAGCAAGTGATTAACCATTGCATTACCAGAACTCGGAGTGAATAGTTGATTTTACAGGCTGAGAGGGAAGAACACTAGCTTTTGCTGTGTGTAAATGCTTCCAGAGGAAAATTAAGGCTGTGCTATTTCAGATCTCTACTAAAGATCATGCTCTAATGGGGGGGGGATTCTGAATATACAAAATATTTGCAGATGAGGAGAGGCTAAAATAACAGTTATTACCATACACCTAAAATGCTTTACAGTTTTATTGAAATACACAATCAGTATTTGAAATTTTCTGAGGACAAGAAATTCCAAATATCTTTAAGAAGTAAGGAAACCTAATGTAAAAATTTACAAAATAGAAACTATCTCTCCCTCACTTTACACATACACATGCTTGCACACCCCCCGCCCCAAGTTTACTTCAGGAGGAAAAAAGGTACAACACACTATGGGAAATCCAAAACTACACTAAAATTTAAGATCTGGAAATCTAGGTAACAGACTGACATGAATGAGGAAGAGTTTCAAAGAGAACTTTAGGAGAGGCTTTGTGCTTCTCTGAAAAGAATGTTTCACATGAAATAAGTATACTGCCTGGAAATCAGAGAAACAAATCTTGAAAAGAAAACCACAGAAAAGACACTCAAAGTGGCAATTGACCTTTTAAAAGGTTCTACAAAATGGAATGTGTTCTTTAGTAAAAGGTAGAAAATTCAGGTATCTAAATTTAGCAAATGAAATCTTGGCAACTCTGCACTTCTTATTTTTCCCACATGTAGACCTTCTATTATATAAACTGAAGGAAGAGAAATTGAGTAATATAATAACCTCAGATTGGTTTTGTGAAAGAACATGTCTACATTTAAGTAACATTTAAAAGAAGATAAATTAAGAGTAGTTTTTAAAAGCAGTTGGGTATTTATTGACTATGCAAAGGCATTTGACTGTGTGGCTAACTTTGAGAAGAATGGGAATCCCAGAACATTTATATTCATGCAAAACCTATACTTGGAACAGGAGGCAGCTGTCAGAACAGAGTAAGGAAACACTGCATTCAGAATTAGGAAGGAGTGTGTCAGGGATGCGTCCTGTCTCCATACCTTTAAAATCTCCATGCAGAACAGATCATTTAGGAGGCTGGACTTTATGAGGAGAAGTGTGGCATTAGGATTTGAGGAAGACTTATCTACAACTTGCATTATGCAGATGATACAACCTTACTTGTGGAAACTGAGGAAGACCTGAAGCATTTGCTGTTGAAAGTCAAGGACTGCAGTCTTAAGGATTGAAGCTTAACAGCAAGAAGACAAAGATTTTCACCAATTTGCCATGATGGATGAATGGATCATCAATTTGCCATGATGGATGAATGGATGGAGAAGAGATTGAGGTTGTTAACAATTTCAGCTTGCTTGGCTCCATAGTCAACACTCTTGGCACTAGCAGTCGGGAAATCAAAAGAAAAATTGCATTGAGGAAGTATATGCTATCAGGAACCTCTCCAAAGTTCTAAAGAGCAATGATGTCAATCTAGAGACAAAGATGTGCATGATCTAGGACATGGTCTTCGCATTTACTTGCTACTCATCAGAGAGCTGGACAGTGATTAAGGAGGACAGAAGAAGAATCAATGCCTTTGAGTTGTGGTGCAGAAGAAGAGTATTGAACATACCATGAACCACCAGGAAAACACATATAGGTCTGTCTTGGAGAGGGTGAAACCAAGTT